ACAGACCAAGCTACACAACTGTCTCTTATACAGAGGGCCTAGTCCTGTCCCATGGAAGCTCCACGGCTGTTGGTCTAAAGTTCATGAGTTCCTATGAGCTTGGTTCAGTTGTATCTGTAAGTTTTCCCATCATGATCTTGATGCCCCTTGCTCATAGAATCCCTCTTTCCTCTCTTCAACTGGACTTGTGGAGCTCAGCCTGGTACTTGGCTGTGGATCTCTGCATCTGCTTCCATCAGTTACTGGATGAAGGCTCTATGATGGCAGTTAGGGTATTCACTGATCTGATCACTGGGGTAAGCCAGCTCAGACACCCTCTCCACTATGGCTAGTAGTCTAAGCTGGGGTCATCCTTGTGGATTCCTGGGAACTTCCCCAGCACCAGGTTTCTCCCTATCCCCATGAAGTCTCCCTCTATCATGGTATCTCTTTCATTGCTCTCCCACTCTGTCCTTGTTACAGCTCGACCATCTTATTCCCTTATGTTCTCATCCCACATCCTCTACCCTCTATTGCTCCACTCACCCACAGTTTACTCAGGAGATCTTATCTATTTCCCTTTCCCAGGGCAATCCATGAGTCCCTCTTTGGGTCCTCCTTGTTAGCTAGCCTCTTTGGAACTGTGGGTTGTAGTCTGATTATCCTTTGTTTATATCTAGTATCCCCTTATGAGTGAGTACATACCATGTTTGTCTTTCTAGGACTGGGTTACCTCACTCAGGATGATATTTTCTAGTTCCATCCATTTGCCTGCAAATTTCATGATGTCATTGTTTTTTACTGTTGAATAGTATTCCATTGTGTATATATACCACATTTTCTTAATCCATTCTTCAGTTGAAGGGCATCTACATTGTTTCCAGGTTCTGGCTATTATGAATAATGCTGCTATGAACATAGTTGAGCAAGTGTCCTTGTGATATGATTGAGCATTCTTTGGGTATATGCCCAAGAGTGGTATCATTGGATCTTGAGATAGATTGGTTCCCAATTTTCTGAAAAACTGCCATACTGGTTTCTAAAGTGGCTGTACAAGTTTGCACTCCCACCAACAGTGGAGGAGAATTCTCCTTGTTCCATATCCTCTTCAACATAAGCTGTCATCAGTGTTTTTGATCTTAGCCATTCTGTCAGGTATAAGATGGCATCTCAGAGTCATTTCGATTTGCATTTCCCTGATGACTAAGAATGTTGAGCAATTCCTTAAATGTCTTTTGGCCATTTGAGATTCTTCTGTTGAGAATTCTCTGTTTAGCTCTGTAGCCCATCTTTTCATTGGATTGCTTGGTATTTTGATGTCTAGTTTCTTGAGTTCTTTATATATTTTGAAGATCAGCCCTCTGTCAGATTGGGATTGGTGAAGATCTTTTTCCATTCTGTAGGCTGTCCTTTTGCCTTACAGAAGCTTCTCAGTTTCAGGAGGTTCCATTTATTAATTGTTGCTCTCAGTGTCTGTGCTACTGGTGTTATATTTAAGAAGTGGGAGAGAAAGACTAGCAAGAGGATGTCCCAGGAACATAAAGCAGAGTGTCCAGGCAAAGACAAGGCTCTTGTCTGCACAATCCCAGGTTCTGGTCAAGAAGAGCTCAGTAAGATAAGATTAAGCAGGGATGGGGGGTGTTAGAGTGGACCACTGTAGGTGGTGCTGGGGTGCTGGGAAGAGAAAGGGATGGGATTTGGAGTGTCCGTGTTGTTATTTTGAAATGAACTTCAATTGCACAGGACTTTTATCCAAGACCAGAGACAGACACTGGAAAGTGGATCTATACATCCATGTATATGAACAGCGTATACAGTGACAAATGCAAAATTTCCTGGGATCTTTCTAGAGTCTAACAAGATTTCTAGGCAGGAGAGGACCCCTGAGTCTTAAACTTCGTCTACATCCTGGCGTCTTTGTGGGCATGTGACCCAGCCATCTGTGTGTACAAGGTCCCTTTTTCAAAGTCATAAAACAGAGGCAGCCTTATCTAAGAAGGACAACAGTAGGAACTGCCCAAGTGGCTTATGACCACAGAGAAATGTTCACACAACCCTGCCTATGCAGGGTCCAGTGTCCTTAGCTGGGGCCTGCAGCTAAGTGGAAGGAAAGAAATTACTACCACAAGTTGTCCTCTGGCGTCTAAACAGTGTACACATGCATATGCATGCAAGTATGCATACACACACACACACACACACACACACACACACACACACACACACACACAGGAAAGAGAAAGAAAGGGGGTAATAATTTTTAAAGGCAAAATTCCCTATTCTTCCCTGCTTTTGATTGGAATTTACGGTTATACCTATGATTTTTCTAAATAGACCCCCAAAGCCCAACCCCATCTTTTCTGTTATTCCTCTGGAAACATAGCCCTTCAAGTCGTATCTCAGCCCCTCAAATGCCTGTGAGACAACTGCCTCAAGAAAAACCTCAGCGCAGTGAATGATTCTGACCGGAAAGGCGGGCCTCCAGCACTGACTATGCTAGAAAAAGAGCCTACTGCGCATGTGCTGTGCACAGACACTGAGGCACACTCCGAGGGTTCAGGGGCAGATAAAAGAAGGCTTTTCCATGGAGATGGCCATCACCCCGTCAGAAACGTAGACTTGGTGATCCATACCGCATGCTTGGGGCATTTTGGAAAAGCATTCTGGGAAGAAGGCAGGGAATGGGTGTTAAATGTTGAGACTCTCAAGGGTAAGCAGCAGCTGACAGGACGCTCAAGAAGAGACATCCTTCACGGGGCAGGCTGTGGAGAGGTGCAAAGTACAACAGTTTGCACTTTGCCCTAAATCATATTTCTGAGATCTTGTTTCAGTTTGGTTTCCTTTTAATTAATTACTTTATTTTATTTTCTGTTTCTTCCTGGTGTGTTTTAAGAGTAAGGCGCATGTGAGATCTTTGACCCATTACCTTGCACGCGCGCGTGCACACACACACACACACACACACACACACACACACACACACACACACCCCGCACAATATTTTTAGCCACAGCATAAGAAATGAGTAATTTTTGTATATCAAGTACATCTTAAGAGAAACTTAAACACAGTGAAAATTTATGTTTATTTTCATATTACCTAAAATAGCATTTAAAACACAAGTGAATAGCTGGATATGGTGGCCTATATTCATATAATCCCAGCACTCGGAAGGCTGAGGCAAGAAGATGCCTGTGAGTTTGAGGTCAGTCCTGGCTATATAGTGAGTTTCAGGCCAGTAGAACCCCATCTGTAAAATCAAACAGGACCAGTGAGATGGTTCAGTGAGTAAAGATACTTGCCTCACAAGCCTGATCTTTGAAACTCACATAAAGGTGGAAAGGCAGACCCCACAAAGTTGTCCTCTGATTTATACATGAATGAAGTGGCTGTGTGCCTGCACTCACATATACACACCACACACACACACATGCACACGCGCACACACACACACACACACACACACACACTAATAATAATAATAATTTTTAAACTAAAGTTAATAAAAGGCAAACAAGACAAATATCAAGTCATTAGCTTAATTGCCTTCAATGAGAGCATATACAAAACTCCCAGCTATCATGGGCTTGACCAAGGCAAATCTAATCACATATGATCTACCCTGATACCATTTCATATGGCTTATCTTCTTGCTCTTAGTTGAGAAGGTCTTAGATTGCAATTACATCATGGAAGCATGGCTGAATGGTAGAAAAAGTGACTCCAATTTATTCTTGAGTCCTAATTTAGTGGAGAGCAGCGAGGCTGGCTTTGAAGAAGCTGAAAATGTGATGGTCAGCTTTCTAGTTCTGTAGTGAAATAACCAAGACAATCAGATTATAAAAAAGGAGGTTATTATGAACCACAGATCTAGAGGATTTAGTTTATGGCTACATTGCTTTTAGATCTGTTGCACGACAGCACATTATGATTGGGATGTGTAAGAGATGAGGAGGAAGAGCCTGGAGTCTCACAGACAACATAAAACCTCCCACTAGTCTCCGCTCTCAGGGCCTTCCCTGTCTCCCAAGAGTGCCATGCTGAAGTGCAAGCCTTTACACATGGGTTTGCAGGAGACACACAAAATCCAAACCAGGGAACCTTCAGCTTGGTTATGTAAGCAAGCAACTACTGCATGACCATTGCTCAACACAAGGACAGTTTGCCGTTGTTAGACTGCAAATGTCTGAGTGACCTCAGCTCGGTGACCCTATGTACCGTGTTTCTGCAACAAGGGTTCTAAACATCTGAAAAGGCAGTCTGTGCTAAAAACATTATCGCTACTCTTCGGGGAGCAGAGAATTGTTTCTGTTTCTACCTTCATATCTGCATAGTTCTCTAACCCAGTGACATCGTATGATATTTCTAGCTGTTAGTCTTCATCAGTCCTAACATGCTTTCTTTGGTTGTTAAATGTGTCAGATGGGGCTTGAGTTGTGGCTCAGGGGACCAGTGGTCCTGCCTTCAGCACTGAAGGAGCCCAAAATAAAATTAAATGATGCCGCTGACATTTTCATATACACAGAGCTTTTAACGTTTAAGAATATGTCTGAACATCATAAGCATGCACATTTTCTTGTAAGTTTAAGACTTTTCTTCTTGTGAAAATCAAAATTAAAATGGAGTTGCTCATGTTCAACCTTAGCACAAAATTAAACCATGGCAGGAGGTGCCTGGCAGCGAGGAATTCCATGGAAGACTCTGGTAGGACCCCAGCCATGCCCAGAAAACACATCTGAAGACACCAGCCTTGAACTAATGCTGTCCTTTTTACTGATCCTTGTGTCCACAAATAATTGAACCTACGAAGCTTTCCCCATACGACCTTTCCAAGCTCACCTCTGCCTCTGAGACCACTCCCCCAGTTTCCTCGGTCACTTGTGTTCTTTGTGGCACTCCGCTACTTCCAAATAAGCTCATTAATCCTAGGAGACTCTCCGTATCTCCTCTTTAGGTGGGTGGTCCCTAGCACGGTGTTTGCCTTTGGAAGCTTATGGACATATATTCTCATTTTCAGACAGGCAGCTTGGATCATACCAATGATTCCCAGTCTCTGAATACACAGAATCCCAGAAGAATACGAGCAACCACAAGCTACAGTATAGTCTTGGTTCCAAGTGGAAAAGGCCTAAGGAAAGAGTCCGGGAAGATGACACTGTTACCAACTTGGGAACTCAGGTACCAAAAGTTATATGGCTGTGTTGTTGACAACTTAGAGATTGCTAATGCAAGGCATCTGGTCATTCTGGGATTCCAGCAAAAGGTCTGAGTTCAATTAAATGATGATACAAACAGTTGCTTGGTTTATCTTCCACAAACATAGCACTGTTTGAACACATTCTCTAAAGGACATGGTGGCATTTGATGATTTTATTGCCTGATAACTTGTGGTTTGAAAGGTTCACTTGTCAGGTGGAGTGTCTGTCAACCACCTGCCCCCAACCTGCCTCTCAGGTAGGAGAGGATGCCATGAGATGGTTAGAGGGGCCCTGTTATCGCCACTGAAATGATAGCCCATGTGTTCCATCAAGACCTGGATGACAATCATATTCTACTCTAGTTTGCAAAATTTACCTTTAAAATTTATTACTCCCTCTTTCTTCCTCTCTCTCCTCTCTCTCTCTCTCTCTCTCTCTCTCTCTCTCTCTCTCTCTCTCTCTCTCTCTCTCATACTTGCATGCACATGCGTGTGCACACTGTCTAGACGTCAGAGGACAGCTTGTGGAAGTCATTTCTTTCCTTCCACCATGAGAGTCCCAGAAAATGGAGCTCAGGTTGTGAGGCCTGATGAAAAGTGGCTTTACCTACTGAACCATCTTTTTATCCACTGAGCCATCTTCCCAGCCCCAAGTTAGCCATTTTAAAAACAGATAAACACACTGGCCATTTAAAGTTACAGCAAATGAAAAGAAAATACAGGCTACTCCATTCAATTTTTAAAAACTATAACAGTCCCAAGTATTAAATTGATGTTTAAGTCTTGATTTGGTACTCATGTTCTGAGCTGTTTAAACCTACCATGAATCTGGAGTCTATAGGGTTTAAAGTCAGGATGCATCTAGAACTCAGAACATCAACTGTAGTCAAAAGATGTGGCTTTCTCCCCAGCCCTCAGAGTGGGGCCCTAAGATGCTGCATAATCATTTGGTAATCCGGCCAGAGAAAGGGCCTGTCCTTCATGATGCTTTGAACATTGAAAGGGATGAGAACAGAGAAGAGGGTGTACTGGTGCTAGTGGGTCTTTGAAAACTGTAAAATCACGTTTCCCTTGAAGTCTTATCCAGAATACTGTGATTTAGTCATTCTGTCGTAGACTGCTGATTGTACTTTTGTAACATTGTTCAATGTGATTCTTTAAAGCCCTTGTTAAAATGCATTATGCACATCAGAAGGAAAGCAGTTGTAAATGAAAGGGGAAAGAAGGAGGGAGAGGAAGAGAAAGAGGGAGAGGGAAGGAGGGAGGGAGGGAGGAGAAAGGGAGAATATGAATAAGTCTCCCTGGGAAGGATTTAGACATCATTACAGTGTGGGAGTCTTGAACAAACCAGTAAGGCCCGGACTTGAACTCACGATGCTTTTGCTTCAGCCTCTCAAGTGCTGGACTTCTAAGCATGGGTCATGAGTCTTTTTTGTTTTGTTTTCTTTTAAAGCTCAGATGTCCCTGAATGATGCTCTAAGTATTTGGCTTGTTCTGTTCAGTGTTCTTCAGGATTCTGTCAACATTAAAAAAAAAATACACAACCCTTACTTCAAAGACAGTAAGAGAATGATTTATTCTGGAGCCAAATATGAGTGACCGAGGCCTAGGAACACAGATTTAGATGCCCCCAAATACCATGTTCAAATGTGGTGACAGTTTCACCAAGCTTTTTACAGTAACAGAACAAAGACAGTCATAAAAATACATTGATGTAAATATCAGGGTGGTGGGTCTCAGCACATGAAGGAAACCTGACCTAGAGGCTTCAGACACTGTCTGAAACTGTTCGTAGTCGTTGGATTGGTGGGCAGGAAGGATCTGTTTGTACCTTCCAAAAGGATTTATCCAATAGTCACAAGGATGTTGGCTCATACCCAGAGGTGAATAGTAAATGACCATCTGGGGAGCAATGGTAGCCCAAGAGAATTAGGCTCTGGACCTCCAACATCCCAACCTCTCCACAACTATTGGCTTTCTAATCAGCTAATCAGCCTGTGAGAATGCTCAGCGCAGGGGTGGATTTTCTTTCTAGGAATTTCAGTTAACAATTCTTTGTGTGTACAAAGTGCACACATAGTAGTGTCTGTATGACCAATAGATAAGGTTGCTAATATCTGAATGTAACTAGCCCAGAAGCACGCTGCCTCAGGATAAAGGAGTCACCAGCTTGTTCATCTTGGTGAGCCATCTGGGCCACGTACATTTGCCATTGTCGACAAGTTGGACAGCAAATGTGCTATGTATTGCTTTTAACATGATTTGAAACATTGCCTGGGTGAGGGAAAAAAGCTTATCTGTTGTACACCCAATCCCTATGGATCCCGAGTTAGCATACTAAGAGGAGTTTAGATACACTGTGTGTTTGTGATCCCACTAAATACCAGCACCACGATCCATCTCCTTCACACACTTCTGTCTGTGTCACCAATCATCCCAACACTTGCTCTGATGGATCTGGAGTCAGAGCGAGGTTAACAGTCAGGCAGCTCCGACAGGAGCATTCGGAGCACACTTCGGGCTAATCTATCTCTATCTCTGGCTTTTGTGACTCCATCCAACTTGAATGGATTGAGACGAGGCAAGAAATGAGTCTGGAAACAGAAGCCCAGACAGGAAAAGTTAACCCAGTTTCACTCGAACCTTTTTGGCATTTTTAACATTCTGTAAATACAAAACAAAATGAAACAAAACTTCCTGTTTAAACCTCAAAATCCAACCTTAGAAGCTGCCATTTTTTCCCTCTGGTACTAGGGGTGCTTACATGCAGCTGAGCTCCACCCCAGCTAGGGGATTGCTTCCGTGAAGAGGAAAGAATACTGACTAGCCTTAGAAAAGGGGCTTTTCAGGGCTGAGAAGACGATTCAGGTTAAGAGTGCTCCCTGCTTTTGCAGGGGACCCAGAGTTCTTTCTCACTCCCTACAGACTGGCTCACAGCTTCTATAACTCCAATTCCAGAGACCCTGACACCCTCTTTTAATCCTCTCAGGCTCCTGCATGCATATGGTGCACATAAACACACAAAGACACATGCGCGTGTGTGTGTGTGTGTGTGTGTGTGTGTGTGTGTGTGTGTGTGTGTGTATGTGTGTGTGTGTGTGTGTGAGAGAGAGAGAGAGAGAGAGAGAGAGA